CCAGCTACCAAAACATCCACCTGGAAACCGATGCTTTCAATGTTGAATGTACCAAATTCCCCATTCAATTCAGTGGACATTTGCAAGCTAAAACTCACCCAGGAATCAAGAATGAAACCCCACAGTCCCACAGTGGTGTGATTGCCTGGGATTTGTTTGGACACAGTCCAGCCTTTTCAACTGCACAGCTTTTGCCGTTGGCGCACCGAGCGTGGGATTTGTGCAAGTCGGAGGCATCCTCAAAAACTGGCACATCTGGGAATCTGGAGGCGAGGTATTTGATTTTGCGCTCATTGTTCTCGGCCATGAACTTGACGTCCACCTAACAAGACGACGATTATTGCTTCACCAAACATTGAACCAGGTAGTTTCAAGTCACTCAGTTCAATGTGAACCAAACTCCAGCCAAAGAAATGCAACCTTTTTTCAGCAGGTTGGACTGATCTAACGTTAGTCGTTTAGCCCTTCATTCTTTCAACCCCTTGCCTTGATCTCATCTTGTGGATTCTCCGCATTCCAGGTCGTGACTAGCTCAGAGACGACCATCTCCACAACTCCCCACCCTGAGAACATGCTCCCTACCTTCAGGGAACCCACCACATCCAAATTGGACTGCATCCGTTGCCGCAAGTCCGCAAATTTGGCATTGTGCAAGAATTCCCGAACAAAGGCACCAATCTCAGCAGAGATCAGCAGAGTGAATGAAAGACCCCTAGTTGCCTTGAACTTAGTCCATGACACCCTTTAATTCCTAAATATTGAAAGTACGCCTCATGAAAGGACTATATAATGATTTAAGAAACCAAAGTGCCTAATACTTGGGTAAGATTCCTTTTCCATCCAAAGTTGAACAATTGCCAATTGATGAATATATAGAGGTCGAATTTAGTAGTAAGCAGTAGTTGTTGGATGTCGTGACTCTCTAACATTCAATTTCTGCCATAATAACATAATCTCCTTTAGACGGTCAAAGTAAAACATTGACCTGCTGCCGCCTTCAACACCAAGGCACACTGAGCTCTGTTTTGACCCGGGCATCCAGAGAAGCATCAGGTTGCCCCTCATCCTCCGAGTCTTCCAGCACTGGTTGCTCCGAAGGTTCCGATCCTGCAGTTTATACTGAGGTTGTTACTACCCATTCAACAACCTCCAGATCTGATAAACAGTGATGACAAACACGTCGGTTTCATTCCAAAAGCCCTTCAACATGTCGTGCCTCAATCATGAGAACATCGACTCCCAATAATACATCTATCCTGCCTGGGTCAGTCTCGTTGTCTGAACTCAAAAGGACGCTTTGCTCATCTTCCCTCCTGGAGCGAGTGCATGGAAAACCAGAAACTTCCAGAACCCAAAAGACATAAACCCAGCTGTGGAAGCAAGGGCCCCAAATGCATAGACCCGGCTGTGGAAAGCACAAAGGTCAATTGTTGGACCTGGAAAAAGAATCCATAGAACATCTTTGGTTTTAAAGAACCCATAGAACCCTTGGAATGCCGCAAGCACGGCGCAGTGGGGTGCTGGAAGAGTGCATTAACAATGATTCTTTTTCAACGCTGGCAAAAAGCTTAGGATTCAAACCCTTCCGGCAAATCTACAGCAGCTCCATCGGCATCAGATTCGGACCCACTGCTATCGCTGCCAAGTTCATTGTTGGCAAGTTTCAAATCAAAATGCTTGATGCGATTTGGGATGCTCCAGGTGCCTTCAACATGGGTGTCCATGAACTCAGAACTGTACCTGTACCTCAGAATCGCATACTCCGAAGGTCTGCGTATCCGGGGTAGTGTTGCCGTGCTCCACTGCTGAAGGTATTTTAGAGCTTCGGCGCTCACTTCCCCACTCTTGTGGCACGGCGGAAGTTGTCTTTGAATATTCTTGCGAACCTGTTCTGAAATCAACCTTCTGTTGGCCACTCCTCCAGGTGAATGGAATCCCCGACGAATTTCAGAAGCGACCGATGCTGGGACAACCATGATTGCACGAGCCACCTGTTTGTCTGCCAGCCAATGCTTCGTCACCAAAAATATATCATCATCATTTGGAATCCATCGAGACCCCATTTCCTCCAATTCCAACACGTTGCCTCAGACCTTTAAACTTCAAGCCTGTTTGTCGGACAAACAACTTCCAGCAAGCTGTCTCATCAACCTTTGACACCTGGGCGATGGATCCTCGAATGCGACCAGAGGCTTCATTTGCTGCACCCCCATGATTGCCATCGATAGCTTCCTGGAGAGTAGCAACCATTTCATTGGCGGACCCACATTTCCGCCCCATTAGAAGCCTTGCCACTTGACCAAAGCACTGGTCGATGTCTTCGTGGGAATGGGCTACTCTTAAGTAGCCCAGAGTGCAAAATCTGACAATGCCCAGGATCTGAAAAAGCAAGAATAAGTTCAACATGAAACTGTTCTTACCTTCGCGGTAACAATTATCTTGTTGAAGATGGACTGAAAGCGGGATGTTCCCAAATTGCTCCACCAACTCGCTTAAAGCCCGGCACACCAACTCCATGGATGTAACGCTATCCTTTTTCAGATCCTCATCTGAGATGCTAATGAGCATCTTGTAGCCATGTAAAAATGTTCCCACAAGGTGACAAGCAGGACGGTATAGCTTTTGAAAGGCCTTGCTCGGAGTGACGTATCCAAGCCTGGGGACTCTCAGTTTTGCTTGGTCCATGCCGTCTTGGATCATACAGACCACGCTGGCAGCCACCGCTGCAGTTTCCCATTTCTGTGCAATGTGGAGAGCCTGGGCAAAGTAATTCCTGCTTTGAGTTCTTACACTCCAATAGTATTGGCGGTCCAGCCGCTGCGATAGCAAGTGCTGTGTGTAAAGCCTTGTTACCGCCTGCCTCATGGCCCTGGACGCTGCTTTTTTGATGCGGCTTCGAAGTTTATAGCAAACATCGCACTGGCCATGTTCACCTTTGGATCTGAAGCGCATATGTGATTGGAACACCGGTTTCATGATCTTGCGAAATGTTGTAAAGCTCGCGCTCGGTTGTCCAAGAGACTCGGCGTAGGCCTGATATTGGAGGAACAAATCCATCGGCCGTGCCCGCTCTAAAAAGCGGGTTGGGCCATCGAAGGTGCCGGGTCCAGCAGCATTTACTGCCTCAAGTGTTTCAATTGATTCAGACAAGCAAGTTCACCAAGTCTGCCGACCTTCAACAAAAGTAACCCCAATCAAAGACAAACAAGTTACAGTTAGTGTGATTCCAATCCCAGTTGATTTCCAAGTGACCGGATTGTGTTCAAAATTGCGCTCCAAAGTGGACATGAACGACCGAATGTATCTCTCTTCAAAATCTGGGTCCTTCTCAACATAGCTCTCCAAAAGTCCGTTTGAAGACTTGGGCATAGTCAGCCTCGTTGGTAAAATTTCCGCAACGCTCATGTATAGCAGCCAAAAGAAGGCTAGCACGTTTGGCCACTTCTGCTTGTCAATTCGGCGGGCCAATGAGACCCCGAGCGTACTGTGCTTTGGCTCTGGGAGACGGTTCTGGTGCATGCTGAATGCAGCTTCACCAGCTCGAAGTCGCTGCAAAGCTGATGACCCCACACCGTACAAACGCAGGTGGGCATGCCGACAGACAGGTTTCTCAAGAAATGTCAATGGACTCGATGAAACCCTATTGGAATACTTGCGTTTTTTCTCCGGTGGTGGCAAAGCAGTATCACCTTCTGAGTCAGTCTCCTTCAAAACCCCTTCGGTATCACTTTCTACAAGCAGATTCGATGACTGATGTTCCATGTCTGAGTCAGTCTCACAAAGGATCTGTCCAGTCTCTTGTCCTTCTGAATCCGTGTCATGCAAGATATCTTGTGTAGTCGATAATCCTGCCACATTTGTTGTCCCCACTTCCAAAGCATCACGGACAGCAATGTTGTACCACCGGCAAAGAAGGAGTTCCTTGCTGCAGTACTGTGCTAGATGCCATTCATACTAAACAATTTACATTACGACACTTACTACAGGTTATAGGTTCTAAAGAAACCCTAATTTGGGTGTGCTTTAAATTTATAAAATACTTTCCTAGCCCTTTTGTCACCAAGAAAACCCAAATTGCAAGATATGAAAACATTTGACTAAATATAATATGTCAAATTCAAACAACAAATTGCTTGGCATTGGGCAACCCAGCTAGCTTCCTTGCCGCGGTCGTCGAGTCCTTGAAAATGTTTTCGCTCCTTCAGAACTGCCTCGCTGGCATGTTCAAATTGTATGAAGCAGCGACCATTGGTACATGTGCACCTTTTCCTTATGATCTCAGCCACTGTCAATGCAGTAGGCATTGTGAACTGTGAACCATTTCACAGCTGCAGCAAAAATCGCTGTTGCACGTTAAACATCGTTGAGGGTGGACAAAAATACTAGGACCAAACTGCAAAGTATCTGTGGAATCTATTTGGGACATATCATATTATATGCATGATATAAAATAATCGATTTCTTGATCAATCTTCTGTCTTCAGCTACTATACATCTACACCCTTTAACTTGAGACCGCAAGCCTGACCCATTCCCTGACCCAATCCACTCCGGTTTCGCTCCTCAAAGCCGGTCTCTTCTGAGCTCCATGAGCCGCTGGTCTCTTTGCAGCAGGGCGCTTCATGGGAAAGGGCTAGGGATGGGGTAGGCACGATAGCACACAATAGGGCAGTCTTCAACTTCAACCCAAATGGCTTCCAATTTAGGCAGTCACCACACTCGCAACAATTAACTCCCTTCCACTCCCAACCAACGCCAAACTCAAAAGACCAAAAAATGAAAAGACTAACTTTTCCCAAACCTCCTTATATATACACACACCCCTGTATAATACATACTTATACCTATACAAAAAAATATAACTTGAACACCCATTTTCAGAGGAAACATGTCGACATCCAAATAAAATACCAACATATCTTCCAACGCCACATGTCCGTCCTTCCTCTGGGCCGGACGTCCACCGCACCGCTTCCCACCGGGCGGACCGTTCCCCGCGCCTCCACGAGCTCGGACCGCCGCTCCGAACGCAGCGGCTCCCGGTCCGGCGGCACGAAGTCCTCGTCCATCGTCAGGTCGCCGTCGTCCGCGGCGGACGGGCCGGAGCAGCAAAGGATGGGAAACATGCTGAGCCGAGACAAGCGCGGACGAGCCGCGGAGGGCGGTATGAATGAGCCAGCCGCGCGAGCGAATGAGGTTCGCCGAGGTGCGAGAGAACGTGCTTTCGTGGTTTTGGCTTCGGTTTTTGGGCGTTGGGGTGCTCAGGGAGGTAAAGGTGATTGAAGAAGCGATTGGAGGTGATTGGCGGTGGCAGTTTTGGGTGGGGGGGCTCTTTCAAAGGGCATGTTAACAAGACTATAAGGATCTACTCTACGCGAGCTACGCTACGACCAGCTCACCTGGGATCGAGATCATCCCTTCTACTGAGGTGTAACCCCCACTAGTACTGTAGACGTTTGAATGAACAACCCCGCCAAGCATGGATTGTGGGATTGAAAAGGCATCAAGATCGAGTTGAATGAGTTTACAGGATCCATAGCTGGGGGTCCCCGAATTTTAGCTCGGATGTGCGGGGTTCTCGAAAATCCCACGCTCTTCGCGGACGGCTCCCAGCGCGGACGGCGTTTGAACGACGTGCAGCCGAACATCGTACCATCAAAAGGGGGAGTCCAGGAGCCTTCAGAGTCCCGTCACGGGAGCCAGGACTCATGTTCTCCCTATACAGCCTGGTAGTGAGTGGACTATGACATCCAGGTGGGGTATATGGCTCAGGAGTCATGGAAGTTCTAGGGTGATACATGTCCCATAGACTCCATGGGACTGCCATATATGCCGATCAATTGACCCCCCAAACCACTCCAATGTAGGCATATATGGCAGTCCCATGGAGTCTATGGGTGTGATACATGTACAGATTTTTGGGCATAGCGGTCGCCTGGAACCACATCTTCCAACCCTCTACGGTCGCCGCTTCCTCCACGTCATAGACCTCCACATCCCCAGGCTCGAACCACATCAAATGAAATCCTGTGCCCTTCTTACTACTAGCTTCTTGCCACTATACCAGGACACCCTAAGGGGTGTCTATTGATAGCCCCTTAGAGGTTAAGGGGTGTCCATTAACCACCGCTTCAGGTACTAGTATAGGCCTCCAACCTACTTGCAATGGCCTCCACCGAGCATAGCGTCCTAATACTCACCCAACCTTTGGTCGAGAAAAAAGCGTTCGGAAAGACCCAACCCACTCAACCATCCTCGACTGGTCTGCCCACACACCCCACAACTTGCTTGGGAAGTGGAAGAATTACACACTTTCCCCAGTTTCAGGGGATTTAGCCAGTTCGGAAAAGCCACCCAAGTCACCAAACATCCGCCACACCGCCTGTGGCCGTTCGCGTGTGGAGGACGTTTGTTAGGATGGCTCCCCATGGCTCAGTTTCATGGTCTCTCCTCGTAGCGGTCGAGGCTCAGCTCCTTGGAGACCCGCTGCTTCAACTCCGCGAGCCTCTCATGAGCGTTCAGATATCAACCATCTATCACATTGGATGGGACTAGGTGTACCTGTCACATGCACTCAAAGGATGGGACAAAAAGCCACCCTTAAGCCACCCTCCTGGAAGAGTCTACATCTAGTTAACTGCTGTAGGAGTGTTTCGTGACAGTCGACAGGCCAATGTGAAACAGGAGGCCAATTCCACCCAGAATCGCTTCTGTCCGGCGCCCTGAAAAGCAGGCTTCTTGATTCTATTTCAACCGCGCTGTTGGGGGGATGTTGACTAACTAGCTGTGGTTGGGGGGATGTTGAACTCCCATGGCCGATGCGAGTGATCCAGCTCCGGGAAGCTTCCTCCGGGTCACAGGCTAGATACCCCAAAAAGGGCTCCTGGCCCAACGAACTGAGGTTCGGTGGGCCAGGGGTGGGTGCCATGGGGGTCTAACCACCGAACCTGAGGATAAGGGCCAGGAGTCCTAGGGATACATCCTTTTTCTGGAGAAAGCCAATCCCCCCCAAAAGGTGGCGCAGGTTCTCCACGTACTTCCTGGGTAGGAAACGTCTTTCATGTCTGCTTATCCTGGCGCAGGTAGTGAGGTAGAATCGGTAGAACCATGTAGGAACATACACTAAATGTTACACCATCACAAGGTAGCAGGCTTAAACATTGACCCTAGAAGTCCAGTTCGACTATATTTTGACCGGCTGAAGTAAAGGATATTCCTTTTCGGGTCACCTAGTCAGACCATTCTTAATATAGTCTTAGATCGCCATGGTTCGGGTCCGGACGACCGGATCCTTGCGGCTTCCCCAAGCTAACTCCAATCCTCAGTGAGTGAAACTTGTGAATCCTGTAAATTGACTCCATAGGTCGGGAAGCACCGCCCGCCACACGATCGCTCGCGAAACGAACGATCGCTCTGTCTGACCTCGGCCGGTCTTTCCTCGATCCGTGCGCGAACTCGTCGTTGCTGCCGATCGATCATCGCATGGTGGGATCTGCGCATCAAAGAACCCAGCTAAGCAGAAGCGAATGATCGGCATCTATAGGTGATCGTTTCGGACATGTTTTTTTTCAACCCTTACTTGGGGATGAGTGGACCCGAAAGAGGGCGCCGCTGCTGGAAAGCGTGCACGCGCGAGAAAAAGACTCCGATCGGATTTTAGTTTTGGCCTTACGAACGGCCGGGCTCCGCCCGTCGCCAAACGGTCTGCAGGGTTTACCTGGTGATGGAGAGGCCCGTGAAATGGGAGGCGCGCATCGAAAAGAAAACACACATTGAGAGTCTGTACAATTTGGCTGTTCACAAGGGTTTGTATCTTATGTAGGTTTTGAGGGTCCAGTCGTACCTTCTGAGAAGGTATGACTGGATCCCTAGGGAGGACCTTAGGTCCTGCTGTCTGGTTGTTCAGCTGTTTATATCTGTCAATCCCTGCTATAGCAGTTTAGTAGGACAATCCTCTCCAAACCAAAGGACGGTTCGGGTCTATCCTTCAGTCCGCTTTTTCAGGACGTCCAAGAGCTCCTCACCCACCAACACTCCAGTGGGCAGCGTGAAGTCTTTTTTCGCCCAGACCACGGCGGTGAACCTGCAAGTTCGCCATGTCGAGACAGCAGTTGCTTCCAACCCCCCCTCGACATGAAGGTTCAGGTATCGAAAGCTGCTTCGGGACTCTCAACTCTTTTCCCCCAAAACAGCTTAAGGCACGAATTGGCGCGGACAGCAAGACGCCATGGGCACTGCCATGGGCGTGCTTGGTGCATCTTGGTGCTCAATGGGCTCCGAGGTTATCCCTGCTGAGCGGCTTCTGTGCGATCTGGGGCATCAGTTCCTTTTCTCCGGCGCTCCACGTCGCTGCCTCGAAATCGGGGTGGCCCACCTTGGAGAAGCGAGGGAGAGAGAGAAGCCATAGAGGGCACCCGGTTTCGAGTTCTTAATCGTACCCTAAGAATCAAGGACCCGCCCCGTTCGGTGAAGGTTTGGTTCAGGTCCTGTCGGGCCCCTGCGGGACCTATGGTCGAGTCCAAACCCTCCAGATCGGTGGTTGGGTCCAATGATTCTGAGGGAATAATATCATGGCTCCAGCTGGGCTAGAAGGAAGCAAAGGGTGATGCACGATTTCTTAGAGACTATGGAGGTATATAAAAGGAACATCGATCCGGGATCATTTGGGGCAAGAACAGCACAAAGAACATGCACTGAGTCTCCTTGAGAACACGCAATGGGACTACGACCTGCCTCATAGGCAAAGAAGAGGCAAGGCAAAATGAACATCTTCACCCGGAAAAGAACAAAGCTTTTGGATGGGATCAAGTTTGGTCAAGCAGGTCAGACTTAAGAAACACTGCTGGTCTCTGATGGTCAGAAAATGGAATGGTTTTTGGCCCTCTGATGGAATCTTATGGTTGTCCAATTTGTTCAAATCTTTCAAAGTCCTCCAGATAAAACGCAGAATCATCTGACTGGGTGTGACGTGCACACTCCCTTTCCAACCAAGCAAAGCAAGGCAAAGCAAGTGACATCGAGTGCCAAAAAAACTCTTCCCCACTGACCACTGGTCGAGGTTGAACCTTGTTCAGACCGTCCTCCGGTCCAACCGGAGCAACGTTCCGGTGCTCGGTGAGCAACGTCACCGTGGTCTGACCCTGCTCCGGGGACGATTCCGTCTTGTGGCGTCGCTCGGAGGTCCGGTGGAACTGACTTTGTCCTTCCCAAACACTCCATTCCCTACAGGATCCAAGTATACCTTCTGAGGTACGGTGAGGAAGGAGACTATTGATGTAGGCGCCAGGAGAGCCCAAATTCCTTCGAAGGTACGACTGGATCCCTAGGGATTGCATGCCGATCAATTGACCCCCTGGCACCACCCCTGGCCGGAACTCTCGGCAGAGATGGCAGTCCCGTAGACACGGGGTCGTGTCAGGGTACGGCCCGGTCGACCTTCTAGGCCCTGTCGACCAACACCACCAAGTCCAAGACCAGGTGGAAGGTCCAGGGTCGACCTTCCAGGCTGGTCCAACAAAGGTTGAATGACCTGAACTAGACTATTCCAGCTCGGTACCCCAGGTGACGGGTCCTATTTAAGGTCACTTAACCTCTCTTGGGTGGTGGTGGAAAGTCCTTGGTGTGGAAGAGGTGGTCGACCCTGGGCTGCTCCAACTGATGAAATCGTCTGCCAATTCCAACTGACTGCCGCGCGGCGCGGCCGGAGTTGACACAGGCGGCGAAGATTTCGCAGAGAGCACCGCCCAAGGAGTGTCCAGTACAGCCTACCCGATAGCCTGAGGCGGGGGCGCAAAAAGAGGGCGGAGAGGCATGGCACTTCTAAGAGCGTTAAGTGAGTGAGACTGGTGGAGGCTCCACTGGAAGCTCCTTAAGTGAGTGTTCTGCTTCAGGCTAGGTTCTCGAGGGATGGCTAGCATGTGGCGTGGTAGGATGCGGTGGGTATGTGGGAGACGAAATAAGCTTTGCCCCTCAAAACCTATAGGATTCGGGTCCAGGATCGTGCCTGGGTGGATGAGAGATTGGGGACATGCACTCCTAGTAGTAAGGCCAGGTGCCCCTATTAGCTTCTTGCTCCTAGTAGCGATGCCAGGAGCCCTCAGTAGCGTCCTTGGACGCTCCTAGTAGTAAGGGCAGGAGCTTCTAGTAGCGTCCTTGCTCTTAGGATGGCAGGTTCTGGAGAAGACGTCACGCGATTTCAGGCGGATGCCAAGTTCGTCCCAGGCAGCACACGTCCCTTCATCAGCACACGTCCCATGCTCGGTCGGCCGGATCGGCCAAGAAACACTTGGAGAGTTTCGGCCTCAGCTTCGACATCACTCCCTTCATGAGCCAGCGAAGCTTCTCAGCATAGCCGGAATGAACACCTGGCGGCCAATGGCTCAAGGAAACGAAGGACACCAGCTGTCGGTTCAAGCAACACCTGAACCCTAGGCTTCCAAACACCATCAATTTAACAGGCTGAATCCCGAATCAACTAAAGATTTTACACGGCAAAAACCAGGTCGTTCGCATTTGTTTAAAGGTCTTGGAAGTCTAGGGTGAATGTTTGTCTATACTCATCAAAAAGTCCAAAATACCAGCAGTCACAGAGCTCGGCGTGGTGTTTATATAGTTATAGTCCCCTTACGTGAGTGGAGTAGCTGAGCACCTCTAACCTCCATGGATCGCACCTCTTTGTGACTGCTGGTGTCTTTTGGATGACCTCGGGTCTCAGGAATTTTGTCCCGCCGGACTTCTATATAGGGATGGCACTGTTTATCCAAGGTCTGGCCGGGGACTGGGGGGGAGATGTTGATGAGTCTGACCAACCTCAACCCTAGGGCTCCAGTCGTACTGAACCTGAGGTTCGGTGGGACTGAGGTGGGCGCCAGGAGGGTGCAAATACCGAACCGAAGGAGGTTCGACTGGAGCTCTAGGGCAAAGCATCTTGCAAAACACTTCCCCTCCTGGGAAGCCACAGTATTCAATGACCTGATCAGTGGTCTTGAGATTCCTCGGCTCGGCCGGGGAATCAACACAAAGGGTCCGACAGGGTCTACACTTCGACACTTCCCAAAAACCCACCGGAACACGGTGCAATTGCTTGGATTCATCGTTTGAAAACGCTGTGCGGATGGCTTGTTCCTGGGCCCTTTGTTCGATGCTTGTCCGATGAATCCTTCCACGGCCCCATGCCAAAACATGACTCTAACATGCGAAGAATCCCCTCAGCAGGCAAGCTTAAAAACCTAAAATCACACGCACACATAGCCAACAAAATTGACTTGTTGAGGAACACCAACTCCCAACGTCTACTTGGACAGTTCTACCTTCAGAAGGTGTTTTCAGGTGAGTTCTCTGGGTGTTTTCGCACACACGTGTCCGCCGAGAGTCCGGAAGAACTGCGTGAAGGTATGGGTTCCTTCAAAGGTCAATAAGCAATCTTGGCCTGAAAGCGCCAGCACTGGCTGCACCAACAGAGGTGGAAAAACTCTTAGTAGGACTATGTCGGACTACCCCAAGTAGTGCCGGGTCCCAGTAGCACGGCTGGCTGTACCAACAGAGGTTCAGCTGTCGGGGTTCGGGAACGTAGCTCGTGAAACGGCTCCCGCTTTGAATGGGGTAGATGCATACTTGCAGCTCCGAGGGCGCATCGCTCCTGAGCAGCTAGTATTACCAAACACTATAGCACCATCTGTGGGAGTGTTCCTTTACTTCGGTCCAAGTATACAGTCGAACTGGACGTCGGGCCACTCTCATGGCTGCCGAGTGGCTGTTCTGGTTTTGGACGATCCACAGGTTGTCAACGGCTTCGATGGTATCCAGCTGCTCTTGCGCCACCAAGCGCCAGTTCGGGAGGTGTGCCTTGATCAAGGATTCCATCGTCACAAAGCCTTCAGTGGACGACGGAAGGCTAGGGGATGTGTTCATCTGTAAATGACTGTGTAGCTCTTTGGCAGCTCCAAATGCAGCGCAAGTTTCTGTATCAATGTGGGATTCAAACACCGGGCTTTCGTGTCTCATAGTCCATTTCAACGCATGGTCCATGATTTCACAAAGAACGACCTAGGCCTTTTGGAGAATCCGTATAATTCTACGTACTGTCAGTATGTCACCAGGGCCCGCGGGCAATGGGGTGTCAAGAAAACAATGATAGCTCGCAAAGGTGATTCGGGGCATCCAGTAAAACACTCCTTAGGGGGCTCTGGTCTGAGCATTCTACTTGATCTTGGCTTTCAGAAGCTCCGTCCTCCTCTGTCCTGCTGCCTCTCATAGGCTCCCCATGCCAAATATGCAAAGGCGTGAGCGCTCGCAAAGGGCTTTTCCACATGAGCATCGCGACCCCGGAGGTGTAGTGAAAGCAAGCGTTGAAAATAGTTCTGCATGTCCTGGGTGGGGCGCCAGAGCCCCTGAGCCACCCCAGCGAAAAATCGCTGATCACCAGGTGAACGTTCAAGACCCGACTGACCCAGTACCTTAGAAAATGGGACATGACCCCATCAAAACAGGTACTTGTACCCATTTTCCGAGATACAAACTCATACTCCAGGTATCTCCAGGTACAAATCCACAAAGGAGGCAGGTCCACAGAAGACAGGTCCGAATCCGTAGCGACACTCTCCAAAAAACTGCCAGACTCTCAACAACACGACACTAGATTCAACGCCAACACGATCTTCTTCTTCTTCCTTCTTTCCTCCTCCTGCTCCTCCTGCTTCTTCTTCTTCTCCTCCTCTTGAACACGAGAAGGCTCCGCCTTCGCCTTGCCAAGGCACATGGAGCCCCACGTCCGGCAGCCGCACCCCGGTGCCGTGCGCCGGCAGATCCGGGCGCCCGGTGCCATCGAAGAAGTCCGAGTCGCCGTGGCTGCGCAACACCACCGTGGGCACCTCGACGGCACGCCCGTTTCGGTCGTGTGCACGTTTCGGGTTGAGGTGCTGCAAGTGGCGGGTTTATGTGTTCTTCTCAGGAATTCAATCGAAAAAGAGGCACTTGGGCGGGTCACAGATCATTAGCCTGCAGTTCCTCTGTCATTCGCCTGCAGTTGGGTTTCACCTGAGAGATCCGTTTGCACATTCCGTCGGCCCCGTTGCGCGGCGATTTGGGCGATAGAATCGCCCGTTGCGGAGGGGTCCCCAACCCCCGGAGCTGCTGAGTTGGGCGATTCCGTCCAAGCAGGGAACCGGCCAAGAAGCCATTGTTTTGACCCAGACGCTCCGTGAAACCAGCTCGACTGATCCCTCTCAAAACCCCTAGGTCCAGACCACAAGGATTCGGGTCCGGCCCCGGTCAACGGAGGGTCTGGCGGTCGCGTCTGGGTATGAGAAATTCGGCCAAGCCAACTGAAATCACCTGCAGCGTCTTTTCGTTTGAAGTGGAGAAACCCATTGAAAGGCGACCTGCTGATCCACGAAACCTGGGTAGGTCTGGATCCAGCGAGCCTCCCAAACAAGGGCAAGGGAGGATGGACTGGATTCAGCCCAATCTTGGAGAAACCGCTGCGCCTGTGAATGGTAGAGCTGGTTGAGGTTGGCGCCCGCGTCCACTTGCCGCATGCCCATCGGAAGCAAGTTTTCCTGCCCAAACTGCTGAAATGAGAGGTGATAGATCGAGCTGTTTCCATGCGAGCTCTTTGAGACCACTCCAAGCCGTACTTGATTAGAAAAACCATACCAAGGTCAAGAGTCTATATACGTTAAGGGTCCCACGTTGGAACGTCCACCAAAGTGAAACAACAAGGAAAAGAACCTCTTCCGAGATTCGACCAAGTCTCAGTGTAGCAGCGAAGGCCACGAAAGGTCTGGCTGGGCTGCGAGAAATCTTTCAAGGGCGACGTGCTTGTGGCCACAGCACCAAAAGTGAAGATCATGTACCTACCCGGCGAGGAGGCGAGGGGTTGGGAGTCCTCCCGCAATCGCTCGGAACGGCTCCGTGTTTGATAGGAGATACAATCCCTATAGGGCTCCAGTCGTACCGAACCTGAGAAGGTAGGACGGGGGTGGGTGACAGGAGGGAGGTAGGCCAGGAGCCTTAGGAGCAAAATATACCCCCAGCGACCCTCAGCTGTCGCTCCCAAACAACAGCTAGCGCGGGCCCAGATGCACCGTGGCAGGAGCAGATGCATTGGTCACTTCTGCTTCCGTTTCAGTCTTCCTGGCCCGTAGCTGCAGCATCTCCAAGGCTGGTTCACAGTCATCACCAGCTATCAAGCCCAGATAGGCCAGCCAAAACCACGCCAAGACCATCCTAGCGACAGCGCACTGTCGGCTTTTCTTCTAAAGCAGTTTGGGTTCTTCGTGCCCATCGACGAAGGACCAAAGCGGTGCTTTGGTGGAGCGAAGGTGGCACTCGCTCTCCAAACTTGCACATGTGAAGAAACCGTCCATTACCAACAAAGGTTGAATGACCCGAACTAGACTATCCCATAGGTACCCCCAGTAATTAGGGTCCTAGTTCAGGTCGCTGTCCACCTCTCTTGGTAACCCCCAAATGCAAACACCCTAGCGGGTTGGAGGCCATCGCTCAGAGCGGTGCAAGCATAGCCCCTTCAGCAACTCGGTCGGTGACGGAAACCGGCGCCAGTGGGTTTCTGCCCTTTGTACGTCAGTCGGAGTAGAAATGCATGGTATCATTCAAAAACAGCTCAGGAAAACACACCGATTGCCATGCGAGGACTATAATCGGCAGTTTCTAAATGTGGTGTATCTGACTCCTTTAGTTTCTCTGGAAAAACAAGGTGAACCTTGTTCTACATGTTCGTTCTTGCTTAGTGGGGCGCCATCACTCCAAAAAAAAGGTTACCCACTGACTCGGTATGCAAATTTGGCCATCGACGAAGTGTAATGGCCCCAGAAAGTGGGACGTATAGAACCCAGCACATCCAGGCAAACCACTATTGGTAACCATGTGGTTCCAAAAGACTAAAAAACCATAGACCGGTTCCGAATCCCTGGTTCCTGAGTACTCGTGGTTTGCCTGGGATGCACTGGGGAAAACTAAAAAAATGACCACAATTCTTCCAAGCAGCGCAAAAAGTCAAGTGCGGCGACTGGATTTCACACCCAGGTGCGGTGCGGTCACGTCACGTCACGTCACGTCACCGGTGGACGGTCTTCCAGCGCTGAGGGATTGCAGGCGCTGGACGGTCTTGCCCTCAGCCTTTGGGCCAAGTCCTGCGGTGGGACCCTGCTTCTCCAGAACCCAGAACTGCTGATCTGCAACTACACAACTGGCGAACCTGTGGCCAGTCCAAGAGGACAACGACGTGATCCCCTTCCTGGATCAATTCAGTGAAGTCCGGATGTGTATGCTCGTCAATGACCATTTAATGGCACTCTCGCCATCTGCTTTGGAGACACTCTAAACACTCTATACCCTAGGGATCCAGTCGTACCTTCTCAGAATGTGATTGGAGACACTGTTATGCAGGTTTGCAGGGTCCATTCGTACCTTCTGAGAGAGTACTTGGATCCCTAGGGATACTATATAAACACTCCTTAAAAAAGAACCTCGTGGCCGCAAAAGACTCCTCAAATCCCTCCTCCAGGCCATGCTTGGCCTTCTGCACCCCACCCCGGACGCTCCACTCTCGGGCCGGGCTACCCCCAAGCACGTCGCGCCGTTGCGTCGGTTCGCCGGCCTTTGGCGCGCGGACTCCGACAGCTGCTCCTGAACCAAGTCCGACGACCAGCCCTGGCGAGTGGAGCTGCGAGGGCCAGCCATCACAGGGCACGAGTGAGAAAGCGTGTCTGTCATGGGGGGTGGGAAAGGGAATTGTGTTGGGAAGCGGAAGTCACATGTCAAGGTGCCGTTTCTTATTTGCTTTCTGTTTCCTGGGGGGGGAAACATGGGAGAGGAAGCATAGAAGGTGCTTTTTTCTTTGGACGATACTTACTACCTAAATCGATCCAAAGACATGCGCCATCGCTGCAATTCGTTTTGGAAGGATCCCCCTAGGACGGACGGAAGGCCAGTGGATCAGTGAGAGGAGGATGTGTTCGTAGCCTGCGCCTCTCATCAGATATTACCCCGTGGAAATCTCACATGGACACTGAAAACCACTGGTTTGTAGAGGAATACAGTCTTTGCAGTTCCCATTTCCAAATTTTCGACCGACTGTTATTCCTAATGGGACACCTTCAACATCTCCCCCATTTGGAAATCAGTTCGGCGGTACTACTGCACAAACCTGACATTTCCATTGCCCAAACACTGCCCACGGGAAGTTTCATACATTAGGCCCCAGGTCAACCACCCCAACTGATCGTTAATATGCCTGTCACTATGCCTGTCATGGACTCTTGGGTTGGTGAAGGGTCCAGTTCTATCAGCAAAAACTTTTTATTCTTAGTCTCGGGAAAAAAGCTTCCAAGACTGTGCTGGCACATCGAAGGGATCAATGACTGGGAAAAAAACACGGTGTCCGACCATGACATCCATGGCATCAAGGGAGACCATATCACACTTGCATCAGAATACATTCCCTAGGCTCCAAGTACCTCCTCAGAAGGTATTTGGACCCTCCAACCCCACCCCAAACACCTCCTCAGAAGTCCTCGCGATCCCTTCTCCATGTTTATCCATAACACAGATTGCATGTGTCATGGATTGGGGTATGCCGGACAGTCTTCAGGGATGTCAGGAGAGATCGTGATCATCGTGATGTGCCTCTTGTAAACATGCTTCTTCCGCGCCAGCCTTCATGCCAAGCTCCTGTGCTGCAGCTTTCCTGCAGCGATTTGTCCGAAGGATTCCTAAACAACCCTTGGGAATTGCATATTTACCGATCAGTTGTGGGAGAGTCCAGCCATGACGCATTTTTCTCCTTCGGCGCTGACCCATTGATCTCCCAAGACCACCACCCCCGGCCTTTTTTTGGGCATCATATTGCAATCCCAAATGGATCGTGGCTGGTCCCACTTTCCAACACCCAAACCCCTGCGTTCTGCAGGGTCCAAACCCTCCATAGGAGGGTACAATGATTCTTAGCGGGTAACATATTGAAAGTTTGGTCCATTTGGATGTACCCCTGTGAAGGTGCCCGATCCGACCTTTGCCATGGAGGGTCCAAGGAATTCCGATAGGATCATTTGTGTGAGGTTGTACAAGTGCGTGTGTTTTTGTTAGATCTTTTATTATTGGTTGGTTTCTGACACGAGTTTTTCAAGGTGCGCGATGCTTTTGAGAGAAAAAGGACATCTCGAAGATCCGATGGAGCTTCCTGGCTTTGGGCGGATCAGGAGATGTTTCTTCTCCCCACAATAAAAACACCTTTCAAAGTCCCTGTCCTGGCATGTTCTGGCTTCCAGGGAGCCGCGGTTCGCACTTGGACGGTTCAATGGCTTGGTTCCACACCTGCAGGAAGTACGTTCTTCAAGATTTCCGGGCTTCGGAGGCTTCGCCAGGAAGCCCAACGGTCCTAGGTCCCGGTCCTCCATGGGACCGGCGCGATCCGGAAGACCCAAAGCGCCATGGGACCGGTGGACCGCTGCTCTTCGACGCAGACCACCAGAACTCGAGAGTTCACCGAAGAGGGGGTCGGCCGAAGGGAGCCTCAACGAGGGTTGTTCGATGTGCATGGGGAGGTCCATAGAGGCCTTGGAGGGTCCATGGAGGCCTTGGAGGGTCCTTCCCAGACGCGAAGTCTGGGCCCGAATCCTATGGAGGGGTCGGACCCGAATCCTCTGGAGGGGTCTGGGGTCTCAAACCCCTAGAGTTTTGAGGGACCAAGGGCTGTGAACGGAGCGTCTGGGTTGATTCATTAGGGACCAACAAAACGAGCCAACCTTGCACCCTCCCCCCTGACCTCACAAACACCGATCTCACGATCGATCTCCTGGTGGGGCTCTCGTCTTCACCACGTTTGCCACGCAAAGCCATGACACTGGCCAGTTGAGCGTCCTCGAGTTCAGTAGGGAGAGTATGACAAATGTACCCATGTCTGCGGGTGTTCCACTTCCATGTTAGTGAGTCGTACACGTGACATGGGTCCGAATTCAGATAGTTGAACTGGGGCTAGCGTTGGTTCTTCAACCATCTGTTCCACCAGAGGTTGAAGAACCCGAACTAGACTATCCCAGTTCGGTACCCCAGTAAGGTCCTAGTTCAGGTCACTGGCTACCTCTCTTGCCAGGGCATCCAGGCAAACCACTATACCTGGTAACCATGTGGTTCCAAAAGACTAAAACCATAGACCGGTTCCGAATCCCAGGTTCCTTATACTCGTGGTTTGGGATGCCTGGGGGCACTGGTTGGTTCTTCAACCATATATGACTGTGGTACACGGGTCCGTCAACCCGAGTGAATTGATCAGTATCCCCGGCCGCCTCCGTTTCAGTGCGATGGTTCTGGTGGGTGGGGGGGGTGAAGACCGAACCTGAGATGGGGCGTGACAGGAGCCCGATGGCGTATGTACAGCTACCAGGCGCCCGAACCAAAGCATGAAAAAAGTAAAGGTGTTCACATACAAAAACCATGTTTTTTTGGCTAGTGAAAAGCAGGTTTTTGTTGGTTAACTGAGGGCCCCTGGTATCCAAGCTTCTCAGGTTCGGTACAACTGGACCTGACGTAGAATGGCACCTACATGTCTCAGTGTCGAACACATCAGCGTTTCTGACAAAGTACGAAAACGGATCCCTAGGGATCATATGGCCCTCATCCAAGCGCAGGAACTTCGGATTGAAATCAATGAATTGTCATGTTGGCTGTCATTCATTAGCCAAACGCTCCGTGGTTCACGACGCCCGATCCGGATCCCTCTGTCAGATACTAGGGATTGGTTCGACCCCAGACTCAGACCCCTGACCCAGTTCGGATTCGGGTCCAGCCTCTCACTGAACGTCCTAAGTGACACACCACCCAGACGCTCCGTTCACAGCCCTTGGTCCCTCAAAACCCTAGGGATTGGTTCGACCCCAGACCCCTGACCCGAGGATTCGGGTCCGACCCCTCCATAGGATTCGGGCCCGACCCCTTCGCGTCTGGGCACTGCTTCGCTTTTTTGGGCTCCGCCCCCGTGGTCTCCGTCTCTGGGGCACTGGACGCTCATGGGCTCGTCCTCTCCGCCGAAGTGGAGGGGTGGCAGCTCGTCCTACGCTCGTCGGACGGGGGTAGTCGACCCGAACCTGGCACCCACCCAGCCCAGTCTCACCGAAACGAAACGAAGGTACGACTGGAGGCCAAATGAGGGTATACCTAGATCTTCCAACTATATATGCCATTTTGGCCGGTTTTATGCACTCAAAGGCATACATTTTGCATATACCTGGACCCTCCAAAGTACCTTAGAAAATGGGACACCCCTAAAAAACAGGTACGACTGGGGCCCCATTGAGCCCGAGGTACGTGTCCGGGTCGGCTCCAGGTCGTTGGAAGATCTAGGTCTAACGGCGACGAGTGCGGAGCATCCCCCAAACCCACCGGACTTGGTCCTCCGAGGTGATCGTTGGTCAACGGTGGACGGGCGAAACGGGCGAAACGGGCTGATTGGGAAGATCAGTACTGAAAGAACGATTCCATGTACCCACGGAAACCAACAGCTCAAAAGAATCTGGAAGGCGACCTTGTAGACGTTCTTAGGCAGTCGCAGGTGGTGACTTAAGTATGGACATTGATGACCAACATGGCCGGTGGTTGACCGACTCTTGGTCAGACTGTAGCTGTCTGGGTGCAGCAATTTCGACTTCCCACGGTCCCACCGCAGCTGTCTGGGCAGCGTTCCCAGGGTCCGTGGGGATGTTGTCGCGTTCGCGCATCTCGTGCTTCCGAAAGACTTCCATGGACCTCGTGGCTTCTGTGACGCCGCCGGTGAAACCGCTGGTGGGGAGGAGGTGGAGGACTGGGGAAGGTTGTTATATAGGGTTCAATCATCCCAAGATATCCCAAGTTAAAGCTTAAACATAGATATCTGAAGGAAAGTCCCATGTGTTGTTGGACGTTGGAGGAGTTCGCTCGAAACAAATCGTTGTAAGCCAAAGCTTGGAGAAAGAACTGCAACCAATTGCGATGAACAGGCCTCCAAACAATTGCTCAGCCCATTTGCATCCGTGTGACTGGGGGGAGAAACACGTTCTATCCCTAGGCCTCCTGGCCTACCTCCTGAGAAGATGGTTATGGTGGGTTTGGGGGGGCCTAACCACCTTCTGAGGATATGGTTGGAGCCTTAGGGTAACTATATCAATATCCCAAACACTTCATGGGAATGTTTGAATGTACTATGTCGTCCGATCGGGCCAGGGGTGGTGCCAGGCAAGTTTTCTCGAAGTGTCTGGGCATAACACCCCTGTTGCAAAGCATACAAGGTGCTTCCATTTCCTTATTTGGAGTTCAACGTCCCCAAAAACGTGCAAGCAACGATGATCCAACCCAAATGCCAACCACATGATATCTTAT